GAGGTTGACGTGGGTCACTGTCACCTCATGGTCTGAGGTTGACGTGGGTCACTGTCACCTCATGGTCTGAGGTTGACGTGGTCAGTGGTACCCCATGTGGAAAAAGAGAGGAAATTTGGGGTTCGTTCCCCTTAGCTTGAAGAGAGCCTCAAAGGGAGGAGAGATGCCCCTAGAGTGGTCTGTGAGGCTGAGGTGAGGGAAATGGGGGTCACTGCCACTTTTTGGCCTGTGGGCACGCAGGTTGGTGGATGTGAGTCAGTGCTCCCTAAGCTGGAGGAGATGTGGGGGCTCTCCTTGTGCTGCCCAAAGGGAGAGAAATTCCCACAAAATATGCCCATGGGGCTGAGGTGGGGGACTGAAGTTTGTTGTCCATTCATCACCTGAGTCATTGCCCTCCACGTATAGAAGCAGGAGAGATTTGGGGTCATCCCTGCTAGGCTGAGGAGAGGTTCCCCCAGGTAAGTGTGTGGGACTGAGGAGGCCATGGGGGTCATTGTCACCTCTTGGTCCTCACTGGGCAGGGCTAGCACTCTCCCCATGTCAAAGCAGGGGGAGATGAGGAGCCCACAGTACCGAGGGGAGAGAAATTTCCCCAAAAGTCAGTGTGTGGGGAGCTATGGGAAGGGAGGATATGGAGGGGCTGCTGCCTGGGGGAACGTGACTTTGTGCCCCCCACAAGCATAGGGGGTTGAAGGGGTGCCTTAGGAATGGGCTCTTCCTGCCCCACAGGGTTGGGGCAGGACCACGGTGTGGGTTTGGGGCTGCTCATCCCTGCAGATGCTCTGAGAGGTGATGCTAACCACCCCCCAGAGGTGACAGTGTGGATGTAGGCCCAGGGCTGGGGGTGACCCCCATGCTGGCATCACTACAGAGTGAGGCCTTGCAGCCATGGGGAAGGCTGGCCCCAAGAGATGGGGGGCAGCAAGGAAGCAGCCCCATGGAAAGAGGGAGCTGTTCCAGAGAGGCAGGGGGGAGATGGGGGGCAGGCCTCCGGCTGTGGGGTCTGCTGTTTCCAAAGGGATTGGTGTCAACCTGCTGTAGATGAGGGAGGGAGAGAGGGTTGCATCTGTCCCCTGTGGTGGTGGGGAAGGAAGCAGTGGGGAAACAGGGATGTATTTCGGGTTGTTAGTGTGAGACTGAAGGTCAGAGTCGGGAACCGATGCCATGGAGCAGCTCTTGAGGACAGGCCCTGGAGCGATCAGGGGATGGGGCCGAGGAATGTCCCTGGATGCAATGGGAATAAAAGAGTGAGCGAGGAGCTGTCATCCCCCAAATGAGATGGAAGAAGGAGGCAGGGAGGGATTCTCTAGGATGAAAGCCTGTAAGATACAAACGCTTCCAGAGAGACAGCATTTTTACGGAAAGAGGTGTTGTAAGGACAACTGTAAAGACCCGGCGTGGCCCTGCGTCCTCTAAGATCGCTCTGGAGGGGGTATGGGTTAATAAGATGGAAGGAGAAGGAGGTGTGGGTGATGGAGGCTGGAGTGAAGGCTCCAAGTAGTGGCATTGGGTCCTGCATGCACGCCCCCCCTCTATATATATGGGAAGAGGGTCTCAATGGGGCTGGTTGGGCTTGAGCGCTCTTAAAATTATTGGTAGGCAGAAGGTGCTGGATTTTTGAAGGAGGGGAAAACAGCACCAAATGGTGAAGCTGGGAGGGTGCACATCCCTGCATCGGCATTTCCGATGTGAATCCATGGGGCCAAAATAACCTGATGGATGGATGGTAGGTTTTTTTTCACTGGGATACGGATGAGAAGGAAAGGAAGAAGGTGATGACTGATGAGGAAGCAATTCTTTATTTATTTATTTTAATTGGTGCTTTTTTTTTTTTCTTTTTGGCCATCTGGATAGCAGAAGGGGTTAACCCTGCTGCCTAATGAAATCGGTGGAGAAGTGGCTGGAGTTAAGATGGAGACAGCGTACGGGAGCCTGGGGGAGGGCTGTGTGGGTGGAGGCAGGGGAGGGCCTTGACACCTCTTCTGAGGACACCGCTCTGGAGATAAAAATGAATATACACATCAAAGATTTTGTATTATTTCTTTCCGGGGGGGGGGGGCGGGGGCGGCCGGCCCAGGGAGCTGCGTGGGAAGGTTGCTTGAAATGTATACCTGGGAAAGGAGCCCGTGGCACCGCGCAGCGCAACAGCACGTACATGTATTTCCTCTGCACCTTCAATGTCATTTGTGTAATGTTCTGAGCGCTCTGGTGCTCAGCTCCTGTTGGGGGTGGATTTTGTTTCCTTGTGGCCGACATGTGGACCTGGGGATGCTGAAGGGGTGGGTGAGCTGTGATGCCTACGAGGGAAATAAATCGGGATGCGACCCTTTCTCTGCTTTTCCTGATGCTGATCCCATCAGCAAAAGCGTTTCTTGATGCAGATGCTTCTTTTGCAAGTTGGGTTTCTCCTCTCTCAGAGCCAGGAGAAATAAATGGCTGTTAGCGTGGTGCAAGCCTGCATGGGCACAGACAGCCCCGGCACGCTCCGGTGAGCAGTGGGGAGGGGGATGCGTATGGAGGGGTGATTTATTTTGTCACGTGAAGAACTGAGGCTCAAGTAACTCAGAATTTCCTCCGCTTTGTTACTGCAGAGAAAAAAATCTTGGCTTGTGAGACAGTGCAGTGCTGGGGCTGCTGAGAGGGACTGGGAAGGAGCTCTGCAGCCCAAATGGCATTAGGCACAATGAGGGAGCGTGCTCTCCTGTTGATCACCCATCTTGCCAGCACGCGACTCCTGCTTTGTAGGGCACACTGGCGGTGTAAAGCTGCCTCCCAGTATCTGACCAGAGCAAGAATAACTTCATGCTGTCTGTAGGCTAGCCTCCACCAAGGCATCTTTTTCCATTCCCACTGTAGCGATTGCAAACGCCGTTAAAATTAATCTTGAATGTGGTGATGGGACTAATAGTGGAAGGCGCTGTTTTAGCAGTGTTTGCCTGCAGCTAAATCGCTCCGTGCTGGTAAGAAGTTGATACGTGGGGACGGAGGAGGAAGACCTAGAACAATGTAAGTTCAGTGCATAATGCATCCAGCCTGGTTTCCTGCATGATAATGGATATGCGCTGCGACTGCATGGAGCGTAATCAGGGCTGTACGTTATGGAGAGGCTGTCGTGGCTGTTGCTCAGCAGCTGGAAGCGAAATCGCAGAGAACAGAGGGGGCAGGTTGGAGTTGTACAGCAATCCTGTTCCTGAATTGCCGAGGGCTTGCTTCTTGGTAGACATTAGGTAATCTGGGTTTTACTTGCGGGGATAACGCAGTTCCTGCAGGGAGTTTTCTTGGATGTTGGAAACGCTCACCAGTGAGATGGATAAAGCACATTCTTATGGCAGGGACTCAAACGTACGTCAGGCTCTTTTTTTTAGCAAGGTTGTTTGTCAGTCTTTCGTGGTGGTGGATGTAATGTAGTTAATTGCGTCTGTGTAATAAGGGAGGGTGGGGGCTTTGTCTTCTGCTTGTGTCCTGGGTCCCCTATTACAAGTGTAAGAGGTAACCAGGGGGTTACTGAGGGGGATTGAGTGATGTTTGGAGTTTGTTGCATTTGTCTTCTGCTCAGCTGAGAAGTGGGGCTGTATTCATACTGCCTTCCTACGCTGACTGCTGGAAAGAAAGTGCATAGTGAAAGTGTACATACAAACATCTTTATATGGAGATTTTGAATGGATGCTTGAAGCGCTGTGATCTTAAATTGCATTCCACCGATAAAGCTTGGGTACTGGAGGGTTTTACCTTCATACATCTGCAATTTTCACCTTTCATCTCAATCCCTTAGACTATCTCATAGACTAGAACAGTTCAGCAGACTACTACAGAAGTGAAGGATGCCAGCTGGGCACACAACACTGGCTGTTGCACTCCAGCCCTGTGAGCTGCAGAAGGGAGGCTTCTTGAGGAGCAGCAGTGCAGTGCTGTGGTTTTTTGCTGGTAGGCTGAAGGTTGGTGAGTCCTTTCAGCTTGCCAGGGCTCTTGCTTTCACTGAAACCATTCATCTCTGTAAATTCAGGAAAAATAATTTTGACTTGGAGTTTTCATGTCTTGAGTAGTTGTAGAAGGTGTATTTGTGACGATTGGGAGTGTAAGCTGCATCTTGTATGCATGTTGTACTTTTCTGTACCCCTGTAATAAATGGGTCAGTGGGTCATGGTTGCTATCCTGGAGTACAAGGCTTAAAGTCTGACCTTTTGCAGTGCAAGGTGCTATTAAAGAAAACAGTATTGAATTCCATTGGATTGTCAGAACGTGGAGTTGGAGCTAAAATGAACACTGATCAGCTGAAAATCTCACTGTCTGGTGACTGTCAGTAATGGTAAGATGCGTGACTGCGGTGCAGTATATTTGGGTTTTGTTTTTAAAAATTGATTGGAATACATATTTAGAAGAGAAACATTTTGCTAAGAAGAAGAAAAAAAACCCACGCTGTATTTTGACATTAAAACACCATGTGTGTGTGCGTGTTTAAGGGAAAAACTCCTAAAGTTTAGGCAAAGACCTGACATCTTGTTTATTAGTGGAAAGACCAAATCTATGAGTTGTTCATCACTTGGTGTGCCCGGAGGTGGAAGGATGAATCAATGGGTTTAAAAGGAATATGTGATATTTAATGAGTGTGCGATGAGTAGGTTTCGGCTTTACTAAAATACTTTGCTCTGGGGTGAACTGTGAGTTGGATATAAGCTACTTTAGGTAGTTTGGAAATGCAAGCAGCTAAGATATCTAAAGATGTCTGCCCAAGTCTCTTGAAGTGGGAGGCATCGCCTTGTCAGATGACTGGTGAAGCAGCTGCTGTCCGAACACCATCTCCTTGTCTTGGTTTGGGATGTTTAATTCCATAGAGCCTTTCTGTAAATTTACTGTCTGCCCTGGCACACTCAAATGTTTTTTTCAGCTTTTTTCTGGTTAGCTTGTCTGGCAGCTAAGTTTTTCCCTTTAGCCAAGTTTTAACAGCTTGCCTTTATAGTATGGAGTTTTGTCAGCTTTTGACAAGTTGGCAGAGGGAAGACGTTCTGGAACAGATGATAAATGTGTTCTCTTACAGAACCAGTTTGGGGTATAACTTTTTTTTCCCCAGTGAAGCGGTTCTCCCTTCCAAAACCTTTACTTGTTCTGTCCCCAGTTCTAAGAGTTTTCTACAGGATCTCCATGAATACTGGGTGTGGAGGTCCAGTTTGTTAGAACGTGCCAAAGGTACTGAATCTGAAGTACAGGGCAGGTAAGCTGTGGGAGTGGGTAATAACCATCATCATCACTAAGAAGAGGCTTTCTCTCTTGAGTGGGGTCTCCATTGGTTGGCAGGACTCCATGTCTTGTTGAGTGCTACCCACTAGAGGGGGTCAAACCACAGATGTTGAAGCAGATCTGCTTCCCAGCCCTGGGAGGGCAGATTCCTCAAGACCTCCCCCTCTCCTATGGAGGAAAATGTGCTTCCCTGACCTCCTGGGAGCTCTCATTCCAGGCAGCTCAGCGCTGAGAGTGTGATTTGGGGCAGTGGATGGGCAAGGTTGGGAGGAGGAAGCTCCCTGTTGGGCATAGGGATGCTGCTGAGGAAGAGCCAAGGGGAAACAAGGTGCTCTGCAGATAAGGAGGTCGTGCAGTGATGAGCACTTGGCACTTCTCTGCGGGGTTATATGGGGACACAAAGATGTTTTAGTGCCCTATCTCTCCTCCTCCCACAACCAGCATAACGTTTCATAGTCATGGGATGGCTTGGGTTGGAAGGCGCCTCAAAGAACATCAAGTTCCAACCCCCTGCCATGGGTAGGACTGCCAACCACTAAAAGAGGGACCAGATGAGGCTGCCTACAGCCCCCTCCAACCTGGCCTTGAGCACCTCCAGCAATGAGGCAGCACCTCCAGGGATGGAGCCTCCTTGGCTTTCAGGGTGAGGATACCAGCGTTAGGTGTTTTGCAGAGACCATCTTCAGGAGTCAGAAAACAGTCCAGGAAGAGAGAAGCAGGATTTGGGTGACAGCCTGGTTTCCCAAAGGCTTGGACCAGGACGTCCCTTTTCCACTTCCTCAGGCTTTGTGCTGAGCTCTAGGGCTGAGAGTGCCATTTTTTTCCTGGTGCCCTCTGGTTTTATTTCTAACACCAATGGCAATCTGAAAACACTCTTCCTGATGGAGAGGAAGCAGGGTGCAGAGGGATAGGGAAAGCCAGCTTGCCCTTTTTTGGTATGTTAAAATGATAAGCTCTGTATTTTCTACCCTTCTAGAGACTTCCATTTTGCTTTTAGCTGAATTGAGCTGGTTTTATTCCTTGCAGTGGTTCTCCTCTCAGTACAAATGTAGGTTATTCAGGGAGCATTTCCTTTAATGAAAAGGATGTAGGAAGAACTGATGGTGATAAAGCATCTCTGTGGAGGAGAGCTGTTTCACTGCCTTGAGACTGCAAGGAAAAGAAATTGGATGGCAAATGTATAATTTTCCGTGGGGAATGAAGGTGAGCCTGTGGAGAAGGCTCCACAGAACTTTTCCATTCTGCTTTATTTCCCTTGAATTCTGACTTGATTTTTAGCACCTCACTCTCTTGAAAACCAGTGGTAGTGTAAGGCCGTGCCCTCACACCTGAAAGCTTTTATGCAGAGGGAACTATGAATCAGAGTAATGCTTTCTTACAGCTAGAGGTGAAATTAAATTGTAATTGAACATGTTAAGAGAAGATGTGACAAATGCTGTAATTTCATTGATGCACCTCCTTCTGATATGCTGGCATTCACAGTGCTCTGCTTTAGGGCATGGAGATGCTTTTCCACGGCAGATCCCAAACGGGGAAGGGCTTTCCTGGGGAGGGGAATCTTCAGGAGACGGTTGAGGAGTCTCAGGAATTGCTCTCTGTCTGCCCTTGGGTAGGTTTAGCCCATGTGCTGAGTGCTCCATCTGATGTCTGCGTTTCGTGGGCTGGCTGAGCTGTGTCTGTGCTTTCCCTATCTTGGTGTAAGTGGCTGTGTAATTCCTTGAAGCCTCCTAGGAGCCTCAGCTGAACTGGCAGCCCCATTGCGGCAAAACCGAATCTCGCCCAAGAGGAAAAACAAGGAAGAAACGATCTTAAATCTGTCCCCAAAAGCATCCTGGGATCTGAAGTGCGTGCTTCTCCTCACATCTCCTTCCTGCTAAATCAGTGAGGGCTCAGGTTCGCCTATGAAATATTCACAGTGTGTCCTTATGTGACTTCAGTGGCACGGAAGGTCTCTTGCAGAGTTGGCGCTGCATCCAGAACTGTATTGAAGCCCAGCACCTTTGCCACCAGGACCTCGTTTCCTCTGCAGAGTAAAGGAGTGCTGGATTTTCCTATCTTCATTGAGTCAGGACATGGAAGTTTCTCTCCTCGCAGCTGGAAGGGCTGGAGGTGAACTGTTGAGCCCTGTCTGTGAGCCCCGAGCCTGTGAAATGCACCTGTTGCTTGGGATGGAAAGCTGGAGGTGACCCCTTAGATTTGGGGATGGAGGAATGTTTTGGGTTTGTGTTTCTGTGCTGAACTTCATGCTCCTGACTTTGTTCTTTTGACTGTATCCCTTACAAGGTCACCATCACAGGGAGGGCTGATTGCCCAAAGCAGGGGGTGAGGAGTTACGGGTGAGTTTGCACCAAGCTCCGCTGTCTGTGAAAATGGCCATTGCCACAGTTTCTATTGCAAAAGAAGAGCGGTTTCATAGAATCGTTGGAGTTGGACCCTGACCTTTAAAGGTCCCTTCCAACTCAGTGGTTTAACCCTTTGTACTTGGTTCCCTCTGCTGAACCTTTGCCATAGAAACGCACTGCCGGATGTAGCTAACCCAGAAAGCAGCAGTGCAGCACAGGGAGTGGTTTTGAGTATGGGATTGGAATTCATCCCAGTTATGTCTAAGCGAAGGAAAAAAGAGCAACGGAGGCCGACGTTGTTGAAGTGAAAATTGCAAAGAGTGGTATAAGCAGAAGGCATTTAGATAATGTAAACAGTCTGGCATAGGAGGAAGGATGGGAGGCATTCCAGAAACAAAGGGAAAATAGTTTTTAAAACATGCCTGAAAATACACCAACTCTCGAATTCCAGAGATAATCTCAATTAGTACTTCTTCAATGTATCTTTACAACGGAATTGGAGGAGTTCACAAAAGATAATAGAGGCTATGCGATACGAAGAAGTGATATTAATTTGTTTAATTAAAGGGATGAAGGGCTCCTGAAAATAGGATTCAGTTATCTTCTGTCATAGGGAGGACTGGGATTGTATTCAGCAAACTGCAGTGTGCAGCATCGTAGGAACAAAATGGTACGGTGTTACATTGCAAGGGGGAATGGTTTGAAACTGAGATAGGGGAGGTTGAGGTTGGATATGAGGAGGAAGTTTTTCCCCCAGAGGGTGGTGAGGCACTGGCACAGGTTGCCCAAGGAGGCTGTGGATGCCCCATCCCTGCAGGCATTCAAGGCCAGGCTGGATGTGGCTCTGGGCAGCCTGGGCTGCTGGTTGGTGACCTGCACACAGCAGGGGGTTGGGACTGGATGAGCACTGTGGGCCTTTGCAACCCAGGCCATTCTGTGATTCTATGATTTCTGTTGGGATTGCATTTGGTGTTTGGGCAGCAGCAACAGCTGGACACTTTCTACTGCTAGAAACACCAATTCAAGATGCCAGGTGCATGCAAGCACACTTTTAACTATGCATCTTTGTGGATCCATACGTTTGTGTTCTTGATGCTCCTTCTTCGGCTGCATGTGTCAGGGATTATGTCTGGCCTCAGCTCTGCTTATCCATCCCTCTTTGTGGTGGGGAAGCATTTATTCCTTGCCATATTTTGAGGAGTGTTGGGGAAGACAGTAGGGACGAGGATGGAGAGGAGACCCTCATGCACATCTAAATTAAATTAGCCCCCTGGATGGACATTAAAATGTTAAGTAGCACTAAGCTCTGTATCCCAGCTCAGCAATATTTCAAGGCACTTTATTGCATTAATGGAGTGATAAAATAGAACCTGCAATTACAGTAATTTTTTCTAATTGAATATTTTGCTTTATTCTTTCCCTTTCAAAGCATGACTGTAAGTACTAGCCTTCAGGAAGCTTTGGCAATATTTATACTTTCCCTTTCTGGCGAGGGGTGTAAATACACCTCTTGGGCCTCCCATTTCTGTCCCTCGTGGCTACAGAGCTGAATGGCTTTAGAGAGAGGTGGGCTGGAGACATCAACCTCGTAGCATCTTGCTGTTACTTCTAGGAAGCCCTAGTTTGCTGGTTGGTGCAGAGAGCAGTGTGGTGTTGTGGCTTACATGCTGTCAGTCACTGTACTGGGCTCGAGGTGAGTTTTCTCAGGTATCTTTTTGATGCATTTATT